CGTTAAATATTAATGCTAGCGAAAAACTTTTATACAGAAATTGTAGATCTCGTCGTCCTCTACAAGAAAGGTCCTATACAATTTTCCCGTAGATTCAACGGTTTAGGAGTAATTAAGGAAAAATGAAATTTTTTGCCAAAAGTTCGCCGTTTCGACGCTGGGATGGTCGGATTTTGTCAACATCAATAAAATGCCAAATAATCATACGTAACTCGTTAAATATCGAAGTTAGAAGGAAAACAACTTTTATTTGAAGCATTTTTCGCAATTTTGAAAAAAGAAATTTTCGTCAGCGTCAATACTTAATTCGATATTTCCTTCTATACTTTTTAGCACGTAGCTATTTATTATTAGCATTATTTTTCCGATGTCTGATTTCTTTTTAATTATAGGAAATGCGTTTTTCTAAGGTACATAAACTTTTTGGATTGACTATATAGCCAATACATCAATATCGTGACGTACCTTTTGATAAAATCATTAAACAAGTTTTTGTATATGCTACTGCTTATAAGATTTACCCTGTATAATACAAGGGATGGTATCAGCTGTTTTAATTATGTTTGGAAGCATGGGACACGTCTTACAAAACTTAAATCTTTCGTAAATTGCCAGGTAACAAAGGAAACAGGCCGAAGAACTGTTGAAATCGAAATCGTTGTCCTGGAAAGTGGCTCGGACGTAGGCGAAGACCACCTAACAGCCAGACGCACGCCCCTTAAATAATCGAGACGCGATCGAGTGGAACGTGAATCGAAATCAAATTGGCTGCTCACGTGGCCCCGTGATTCATTATTATATGCGACTACAAATACGCGGGAGGAAGATGAAAATGGAGAAAGAATCGCGTTACCAATTGCGTTAACTTCCAGTTGAACAAACTGCAGTCTTCTATGAGATTCAGATAATAATTTGTGTAATTATTTAAGAATTGTCGTTCTGCACATTCAATTTTCTTACAATATCTATAAACGTTGTATACATTGCACATGATAACCCAGGAAACTACCTTCAACGCTTAGTTTAGATCTTGCAAAAACCCTTAACATCTTTTACAACATATTTTGCATAAAAATCCGCATTCTAGTCATGAAATAACTGTTTACTATTCTACGTTTACGTTACGAAATACATAGCTAAGAGAATGTGTCACTATCTTATATTTAGTCCGGTAAATTTTTATACCGAATCCGCAGGAATAACAAGAAACATTCAAAATCGTCGATCTAGATCCACGAGCAGTTTTATATCACTTACGTGAACACGTATTTCGAGATAAACACACAGTGGCAACTGTAGCTCGAGAGTTAATGCCACACGCGCTCGTGCACACGCGTATATTTCTTTCGAGTATCTATATGGTATCTGCGTTTTGTGTACAGAACGTCGCGGAAGATAGAATGGTTGTATGGCGTTTACGACTACGGCCGATTCGTTACCGAGTAATTATTACAAGATAATACATAAGCACAAGCACACTGCTTGCCTACAATAACTACGTGTTCCTCTTTTTCCTTCTTTCGCTTCTCCTCAAATGAATTGTGTAACGCGTACGCGTAAACGTAATTAAGGAAAGTAACAAGAGAACCGTGACTCGCTCATGTATCACATAATCGCTCTATGCAGTAGCTATTCCAGAGAGAGTCAGATGAAATTCGTGCAGCACCGATAGACGTTCGCGATCACAGATAATGAGATAGAAATTTTATTGTTAAAGACACGTTATTCACTGAAATTCAAATGCTACATATGAGAATCGAAAGAAATTCGTGTAATAGTGTCTTAGCGGTCAGGTGAAATTACATCTAGATTCTGTTGTTAACGACACGTTAGAGATTGGAACTGAAAATACCATTGTTGCACAACGGACAGATTTCCCGGTTTGGCAAAAGGAAAGTGTTCGACATTCACTTTTACTCAAATCATTTTTCACGTTGGTAGATCTCGTGCCAGGGGACAGGCGTATGATAGAGATACCCACTCCCGACTCTCACTGCATGTTACCGTAATTAACGAATAATCGAGGCGCGTGCACGAGACCGTTTCCGCGGGTGGGCCGATTATTCCCCGCCGTTACGTCATAAAGGAAAAACAGCGTAAGCGCGTGGTTGCGCTTACTTTCAGCTCCGACTTACCGGACGATCGAGCGACGACAGGATATCTCACGTAATAGTCTCTCCTGGGCAAACATACACTCCTCGTGCCACTGGTGGTTTTCAATCGCGGAATCAAAACACGAACAGCGGCTCACAGAGGGATCGTCGAAGTGTTTGTAACGCGATGTCGGATGAGAGGGCGGGCAAATTATAAAGAACCGTGAAAGAAATGAGAAAAAGCGGTTTGGATCTCGACTCGCAAATAGGAACGTAGACGACTGCCGCCGTGGCGAGTTGCAGACTGGCGCGCTTACGCCTCCGGATTGCTTTTAACCGAGTCGCCATATTGGTATCACACCCCTTCTACCTTTTCCCGATCCTTCGACTTAGGAGATGCGTTCACGGACAACGTACGCCTCGCGCCTCTTCCTGCCCTTCATCATTATTTGTTCTCTTTCCTTTCTATAAATTCATCCGTGAACGGATTGGTCCTTGTTCACAAATTCAGGCTCTGAACGCGATTCGATACTACTTTCATTTAACACCTTCAGTGATTTTTCTCTACGTCGTTTCAGACGATGTCCAATCATTCGGAAAATCATCTCGGCTACATGGAACGCGATTTTATAAAATAGTTTTGAATGTAGTTTTAGAAATATAATATTGTCAAGTGAATAACTTTTATTACGCACGATTGGTAGTTTTCGTTAACTCATCATCGAATTATAAAGTCAATGAGAAGAGACCGGATATTTCTTATCAATTTTGTATTTGCGTAATTCAGAATGACTTTGCAATAGAGGAATAATACGAAAGCTGTATTACATTTGTGATACATTTCCTATTTAAATCATCAGTTTTTACAAAGTAACGATTCACATATGAATGCCAGATTTCTATGCAAAAAATTACAACAAGCTTATAAGTACCATAATGTATATTTCAATGTCTTGTACATGCATCGGACGCAATGTTTGTATTTTCTCTGTTTCAGTTTACTTATAAATGCATAAAATCCGCATTGGAAGTCATTTAATATTTTAATTTCGAAAGGAAGACTAAGTAGTGCAGATCTATCATCATTACAATTTACATGTTTCTGTATAGATTAGACTTCTTGTTACTTTTTTTATAATTGTTACGCATCACAGAAGATGGATTCCGCTTCATTACGTATCTCAAATAGAATAACATACGACTAGTTGAAATTTGCAATTGAGATTGAAGAGTGTCTAATAAGTGTTTCAAAAAAACAAATACTATTTATCGTCCGGCTATAACATTATGACTGACATAAATGCGGTGCAAAGAAATGTAATTGACAAATGAAATACGAATCATATGTGGCAAATATACATCAACGTAAACACATTAAAAAACAGAGCTGGACTTTAAACTCTAATTATCGATTAATGAATGATCCAATAATGAAATTGTACTGGAAAATACCTTGTTAAACCGATCTGCCTTGAATATGTACAAAAACACATTGAGTCGAGTAAATTCTATGTTTGCCTAAGACTAGGAAGGAATCAATTCAAAAACTGGTATTCGGAGGTTCCTTGAACTTTCGTGAAATACAAATAGTCGATTAATTTTCGTTGACGATCTTACAGTGTACTTATTAGAATTCTAACCAGCGCAATTCGCGTTTTATCCACTTTATCAAGGATTTTCGATTCGAATTGAATTTTCAACGCGTTTGTAATTCATTTCGTCGCACGGAACTTTCGTCACACCCACGATTTGTTCAAGTTTCGACATTAACAATAAATATTCGTCGGGTTCACTCGCAACTGAAGCAGTCTTATATCAAAACGGTCCTGATATTTATGCAACTATATTATTATGAAATTCCTGTTATCACAACGCGCCCAATTTGTTTGTAAATTAGCTTCTCGCGCTATTATTTTGTAAAATACTTCCTTAACAAACGATTAAAGGAATTTCAATTGTTGTAGCAATATTTCATCAATTTTCTAAAGCAGTATCATGTACACGCGTGCAGAAAAAGTAAAAGTAGACGCAGCTTCCTATTCACGGCTTGATACGCAGGTTGCGAGACCTGTTATACGGGGAATTTTTCAAGACAAAAGTAGAAGAAATGTGAACTTGGAGAAGACGAAGGTTCTTGCTGATAAATTGCAATGCTATGAGTAATCTACTCGAAGAAAGTCATCATTTACTGTCTAGAATGATTCAAATGAAGTTTACAATCTCCTTACTCTCGTTTAAAAGAAAATATCAAACTGTTCCACGCGTTTTACTGGACAGACTCAAATTTCTCAAGATTTTTTATGTTAAACTGTGTCTTAGGTTATCGTACAATTGTTTCGATCATCGGAGGAGACTGGGTCTTGTACAATCGCCAAATCCAGCGCAGTTTCGTAATTCAAAGTGCAAAATCGTTTTTGACCGGTGACTCAACTTGATTGTCGCTTACCTCATTCTGGGTGCAACTGTGTATCGAGATTATTTGCAATGATCAAAACGAAAGATGAACCGCACTGGGAAAACCGTACAAAAAGGATCCGTCTTCGATCGATTAACTAGATTTGTAAATACAAATACAGACCTGAAGTGAGAATTTATGATACTGTATCTATCATAAATTGTATTCATCGATTGTATTGTATGATTAAAAGGAATTAAAACAATAATATTTTCTTATAGCTTCGAAGTTTTCTATCGAGCGGAACACAGGTATTACTGACTGAATCTCGAATAACGTATCTTAAGACAAAGATTGCGACATAATAGAGGCTGGCTGTGATTGCGTATTTGCATAAAGCTGCGATGAGCTGAACGGAAGACCTTAAATTTTTATGCTTGCGCTCAGACGATTAACGATCTTTGCTTAATGCCTGCTAACGCTTTATAGGATATTCAAATTCGAAGCAGATCGCCGCGGTAGCCGTGTTTTCATGCCGGTACGTGAGCTCACAGGCGACTCATCTTGGTGTCTTTGAACTTCTCTCGCTGACCTTCCTCCTCTGAATCCAAGAGTTATGGACTATTGGCCAACGATTTCGAATCACATCCAGCCATGTGATTCCAGATTCTTCTTTCCAGCTTCTTTCTTACCGAAAATTGTATATTTTACACTTATGATTGATGAATCTAGCCATGAACCTTCTATTAATAATAATCGATGTATAGTTTCTCATCGTTTTGACAAGGTTCACCTCAAAATTCAATTTCAAATAAATAAATAGATATAGTCTCGTTCTTTTCTTTTTACTAAAAATTCATATATTTTATGGTTCTCTCTTCTGATTAATGAATAATGCCACTCGTTGCCATGAACCTTCTATATTAATACTCTAAAGTATAGTTTATTACCGTCATTCTGACAAGGTTTACCTAAATATTCAAATCCACGCAGATAATTACTTCGAAATTCTATAATATCTTACGAATTTTGATAAAGGCTTAAAGTAAATAAATAGATATACGTCGGTTAAAGGTCTCCGAGCGTCAGTCGAGAAATTTATACACCGGGGACAGAATTCCACCTGTTTCGTCCTTCGGTTTTCATTCTTTATCCTCTGATTATATTACACGAATCAAGAATGTTGAAAGCTGATAATTAGCTCTGGACGTCACAATTTTTTCTTCGACCTGTACTTAACATTTTTTCTTTATAACTATGAGAGAGAAGGAAGAACCTTTTAGTAAAAATTCAAGTTAAGTGCGATGTTTGTCAAGTTTGTCATAGATAATGCAAGAATATCGGTCTTTAACGTTCAACAAATATGCTAAAAATTCACCTGACCTTGCTTAAACAAAATTAAACGGATCGAGAAGATGTGTAAAACTGCAAAAGTAATTATTACCGTGTTCATACTTATCTAGTATGACAACACTTGACCGCAAAGAATGAACAATTTTCTTTAACGATAGAGAAGTGCACACTTGTGGCTACTCTACATTTATTCTAACGGCGACTAAGAAAATGATACGAAAAATTAAGATTCTCAATCCCTTATTCATTATGTGTTTGAAGGTGATCATGACATTATGAACCCTGTTTTAAGTAATCACGAACGCGTGAATATTTATAATACGGGAGTTCAAGTATAAAATGAATTATAATTGTAAATAGCAATGAATTGCAAGTTGATTCGAAATGGCTGATGAAACCGACTGCGCAGAAAAATTGTGGTGTTCCGTGTGGGCAGCGCGGACCGAGTGAATGAGCGTCGCGCGCGGAGCAATTGCCTCGTCCGAGAAGAATTCGACCGGAGTTCTCGCGTTGTCCACATGGCACACGACCCAATTCGTCGATCTTACGTAACCGATAACATTGAGTCATTCATGCTCAGCTGATCCACAGTACCGGCGCTCCGCAATTAAAAAGCCTTTTTACCAGTGTTTTATTCCATTCGCAGGAATACGCATTAAATATGATGCACAATAACTCAAACGTGTAACGTATTATCTCACCGCGTCAACAGATTAACTTTTTTTTATGATAAACGTTGTTGATCAATCTATAGTGAGTTTTTTGTAATCAAGGAAATGGAAATAACCGTAGATAGAAAGAAAAAGAATTTATGTTCGACGTCTGTAGGAAAAGTACGGTTTTCCGTGAACAGGTCACGGCATAAAAACGGTTAAAAGTGGCCGAGTTTAGCAGCGCGAAGTCCCGGTAAAGCAAACAAGCGGGATTGGAGACAAAGCTGCGTGGCCTGTTCAATTTTCTCGATATCGACCGATAAGAGAGGACCCCGGTACACACAAAGAATTTAGCCTTGGCCTACTGTTTCGGGACACGGACGAATCGTCGTCAGAAAAGTCGAGCATCGATAGTTTTGGTTACACAACAGTACGAGAACGTGCCCCCGCGCGATCTTCTTTTCCGAGCCTGCCCGGGCCTTAATGGAGCGATACCTACTGTTTTTGAATCGTGATTAATACGGTTCTGTATGCTCGTCATTGCGTCCCGTTTTTTTCGTTCAGCCCGTTGATGCCGAGGCTGACTGACCTACATTATTTTTCGCAACCCGGCCCACCTTTTCAGCAGATCGATCCCACATGCTAGAGCGCCAAGCGGGGATCAACAAACGTCCTAATTCGAATCGCTCGCAACGACAAATCTGACCTCCTAGACAATATAAATATTGTATACACATATTTCAATTAGGTTTATACATATTTCAATTAGGTTTATACCGATGATAAATAGTAAACAGTACTCCGCTTGAAAATGGGCATCCCCGCTTCTGATCTTTTATCACCTGTGTGATTAAAAATCACGTGGGAACTGTAGGAGCGTAGAAAGGAATTTCTGATCGAATGGGACTATCTACCGAAGCCTGACTCGTACCGTGAGAGAAAGTTTCGGCATCGAGAATTACACGCCGGTGAAATAATCGTCCGAATCCTTCCGATTAAAACCGCGGAAACTAATCGAACGATAATTATATCGGCAGTAATTCATTGGGTCCCGATTCCTCTTATTCGAATTCAAAATGCCTCTGCTTTGCGGCTGCTATTATGCAATTCAATTAACAATGGTTCCGCCTTTCTAATTTACGACTTCAAATAAAAAATAACGTATATATTATAGAAAAGTACATAGAAAAGTATAGAGAATATCAAAACTGAAATGGATACTATTATTTTTACTGCTACGGGATATAATAAAGTCTTACATATTTTACGTAAAAACAAAAAGGGAGGAATGTCGTGCGAACTTCAGTTCCAAAGTCCGGGGAATATGTTGAAGGTCTCCCGGTGGGGAAATATACGTGTACGCGATCGGAATATCGGAGGATCGAACGGTCACGTACGAAGGCGATCCGATTCACGGGCCTAAAGTCACGTCGAACTTACGTTTTACGTAAAATTACGAGAATTCCGATACTCCTGTTGCGCGTCAGACTATATACGCGACACGTGTAATAGCTACGTAACATTTAAAAACAAGTTGCTTATTATCGTTTCAACGAGCGATCAACCGTGTGCCATACACCGACATGCCAGATGTAATTATCTAAGAGAGTTCTTAGGAGCATCACGGATAGATGCATAGTAACTGAAGACAGGAACATAAAAATTATGTGTCAATTAGCTTCAGTTGTCAGTTAAATATATGTACGTGACGTGGAATAAGGGAGTGATGCTTGATAAACATTAGACGGATCGCGTTTTGACATCTGACCACGGATCGAATCCGAACCGCGTGTAAATAAAATGATGTAATTTGTTCTAGGATCAACGTGCCGGAGTAATGGGATCTCGTGCTACTTTCGGCCCGAATAAATGTCGAAACGTCCTCTATTGTCACAAAATTGGTCAATACCATTCTACGCTTTATCGACTTTCCCTATTTCGATTTTCCTAATCTTGCTTCTCGCAATGATTTTACCAGTTTCAATAAATGCGCGTACATCTCTGATATATCGCAATTGATGCACATCTTGCATTCTCATCATCATTCATTGATAACTGATTAGTTCTGTTCCATTCAAGTAGCTTTAATTATCATGTTGTAAAGGGAACATTTTTCTACGTACGAGAAACGATCGACGAAGGATCAAGGTGCGTAAAGTAAGAAGTATTTAAGAAAGAAATTGCACGTTTCAAACCGTATTTGAGATTTGACGAATACCGATCAGTGGCTTGACAGATGAAAATCTTCTCGGCTCGATCGCAGAATGGGTTAGCCGAAGCTGAAGACTTGCGGAAGATGCGCGAAACAGGTGCGCAGCATCGATTCCGCGAGAGCACGCCTAGATCATGGTGCCTCGAAAGCCGGCACACATCTATGTATATCGAATGCGATCAGCTGATCGAAGGGAAGACGTTAACTCACCGGCAGCGTGCAGGACTCTCGCCGGGAGAGATTCCTCTCTCTCTCTCACTTGTTGCGTCGCCAAGATCCTGCTCTCCTCGCGTACGCCTCTCTTTCCCTCCTCGATCTCTGCACACGGAAGCTGCACTTGCCCGAAAGTCTCGAAACCGGACGATGTTGTGCCACGGCCGTCGGTTTCGATGAATCCCGGTTAAAAATATATACAGGGCGGGGCTCGCCGGAGACGCTCGAGCTCGCTCGGCAATCCTTCCTTCTTCACGTCGCGTCGCGGTTACTTACACTCGCGTGCGTTCACGGTCGCGGGACGTCCGTCGTCGTCCACATGCCGCGAGGTCGTATCTTCCCCCTCGTGATTCCCGTCGCGTCCCGCGGTGCACTGCGAGGCTCGTCGTTGCGCGGAGAATCGCCGGCAGGCCCGTAGCCACCGCCCCGAGCACGGCACCCAACGAAACCCCAAATTTTTTTCCTCGCCGAAGGAAATGAACTCGCGTCAGAATCGTGGACCGTCCCGTTCGAGGCACGATCGTTCGAGAGGGCTCGAATCGCGGCCACGTTCACGTCATTGGCACGTGATTCGCGCGCGGTGAAATCATAAGAAAGTTCCGAATTGTTCGCGTGCTCGCGTAATCCGGCATTGATCGATAACGATCTGTAGGTTTTCGAAACGAACCGGAGGAGAGGCTACGTAATTGTTATAGGAAATTAATTCGATTATCCTTCATCGCGTAGTAGACAAGTGTTACATCGTCACGAACCACGTTTTTGTTTTTCATTGCAACACGAACGCGCTTTCTTTCGTAGGAAATTATGGATTATATAAAAAGTGGTTTTGCAGAAGGACGATCGACTAGATGAAAGAGCATGAAAGACGCCCGAGAGAAACCGGCATATTTTGTTAAATTAATGGTCGATCTTCGAGTACGCACTTGTACGTTGCTATTATCTTTATCTAGAATTTTTATTGCGATATTCTCTCATACACGTATATTAAAGTGTTTTAAGTTTTAATTACTATCATTTCTTCATCTCACGGTTAATTTGAACGAACTTTTTCTCAACGTTCGACTGTCATCATGACGTGTTAACGAATTTTTTCAAAACATATAATTTCATTGCAAATCAAGGCATTTAAATTGTATGCTAATTGTCGTTAATACGATTCTAGAGGGGAAACATTTGCTGAATATTATGTTAGCCAGAGGTCGAAAATATAGGACGGGCTGCTAATGAAATCCTTGTGTCAATAGGTTGAAAATTTGCAGATCAAAATTGATATTCATGTTGCATCGTAAACAGAAATTACGCAAATGAAATACATTAAATACACTGAATTGATTTTAATTTCATTTCGCACATAAACTATTCAAATTCGATTCTGTATGTATAGTTTATTATTATTTGTTTTCTGGTGTACTTGTTCAGAAGTCAGTATACAAGCTATTCATAAGAATGTGGATCGTTTTGGTGAATCGATTCTAGAAGTTGAAACATTGAAGGGAAATCGAGAACACAACAAAATCACGTTTGAAAAAAATTTCTGAAAACGTGTTGAAAAATCTCGAACAGACTTTTTGGTTTCGTGTAATCTTTTTAATTTCAATCGCTAGAATTGATCGCTAGACGCTGTGAACAGTTTCGATGGGGTGTGTCGATCATCAAATAAAATTACACCGATTTTTCTGTGTCCATTGCTGAAGGCAACTCGCTCCTTTTAAATTCACTTTATTCTCGTGTTATTCTCCCCAATTATGTACAAAAATATAATGAGAATCAATAATCATTACAGAGTTCGTAACATTAGGTAGGTACATGACGATGTGTGTGTGCTCTTTTGCCTCTTCGGCCTCAGCTTGTGTGTCACCTCTCGCGTGGCTCAACCGATTTATTTCTCATTTTTGTCTTCTAATTTTTCTCTTTCAAGTAAAAGACGATCGACCATCCTGTGACTTGCGTGTAATTTTCTCACCACAAAAATCCACGTATATGATATCGTGTGACTTTGGTGTTTTCGTTTCGATCTTTCATAAATGATTTTCGTGTGTGCAGAGAAACAATGGCATCCTTCTTTGATCCGTAAAAGAAAAATAAATCACATTCTCCGACCTAACGTGTTTCGATTCTAATACCATCGAAGGCTTCCCTGAATACGACGTGACTTGCAAAAATAATTCGAAAGTTTTATTCGCACACTAGAAAGATCCAAGGTTTTTAAAAAGCGAACAAAACGTCGGAATCATTTGGCCAAAGGGCACGAAATCGACTTAGCCTTGAATAGCATGAATCGGTAAGGATATTTCTGAAGATTCGTCAGTATATAATTTCTGAGTCTAGGGCTCTGTGAAGTCTTGTTAGAAAAAGTGCACAGCAGAAAATTACTCGCACGCGTGTCCGTTTTTTAGAAAAATACGAAAGTTGTACATCGAGAAGCAGCCTTTTTCATTTGCTGTTTTTATTAAAGAATAAAAATTCGAAAAAGAACGCGGATAACGCGTGGATTACTACCACGGCCGATCGTGAAATTTTCGACGATAACAAATGACACCTTTGTACAAATGCGTATTTGATGATGCGTGTGTGTGTGTAGGTAGTATGTGTATTACGAACTTCCGCTAGAATGTTCTAACGTCGTGTCCCGACGTTGACGCGGCTTATTGTCCTCATTGACAGACACAAGTTAGGTTCCATAGAATAAACTCACATGTTTTCCAAAAAATTAAAAACAATGCAATGCGGTATATTATTATTTGCGAGACTTTAACAGGTGCGAAATTGCTTTCCATTCTACGCTAATTTTACAAATAGATGAGATATCAAAAAGAAAAGAAAAGAATAATTACAGGAGTCTCTTGTTATTGCGAAGTTAAAAAGGAGCGTGTAGTCACTAGGCGGACGTGTGCTCCGAAAGAGAAATGATGCATTGCGTGTTCCACACGTACACTTATTAAAAAAGTGAAAAAACGGTGACGAACGATTTTAAACGATTCGTAGTTCTATCGATACAATGATCGATTTCATGTCGGAATAATACATAATTGCAATAATTTTCAATGAACAGAAAAGGACGAGCTAAAAGGAGTTTTGAGCGTTGAAGATATCAAATTGTTCGTTAATTCGTAGATCAATTCCTGTACATTTCGAAACGAGTCAACAAGGACCGAACTACGCGCAGGGCCTTGTCAATCTTGCGATTGAAGGAATGCGCTTGAACCTTGTTATGCATATCACCAAAAGACTGATGCAACGGGAGAAAACAAGAGCTTCGTTTTTCGAGATTCTGTGAAATCATATTTTTCATATATGTATACGTTTTTCGTCTACGACTACGTTAACAGTCTTGTCGACGTTATCCTCTCTTCCGTTTACTCCCTTTTATTATAGACCATTTTTCATCTTCAAATATCTCTCTAATACGTTATTAAAACTTATCGATAATAAATTTTTTTTTCATTACACGAATACTTTCACGGGAAAGCACGTCTTTTGACACCATTTTAACGTCAACGTTTCTTTTACTATTATTATTAGTATCATTTTATCATTATTATTATTATGTGATCGATCTATTTCCTTGTAAAAATATACAGCCATCAAATTTGTAGGATCGAATTGTTCTTTTACTTTTTCTTTTTTTCCTCAGATTTTTTATTTCTGTGCGGTCATAAATAAAAACCTTCATCTTTCCGTAATAGGAAGTGTACAAAAGTTTGTAACCTTAACAAGAAATTTCTTTTTATATGATTCCTAGATAAACGTTTTCTCTTCCCTTCCTCTATGCGTTTCCTAGCATTTATAATTTACGCGTAGATTCGCACGATCGGCATTCGATTTTCTTCCAATTTTACCGGTGAACATGAGATTAATTTTGCCGAGACAATTTCTTTTTATCTCCTCGGAAGCTTGACTCCGCGTTTTTCTCTTCTACGCACAGCTCAAAACGTTCGTAAAGTATTCGATAAAAAATAACAAAAGAAAGATGTGTTACATCGTGAGCTATATAAGAAAAGCCGTCGAAGCAACGAGTTTCCTAACTGTACGCGGTTACCCGATAGAATTGTCACAAGTTTGGAGACAGAGAATCAAGCTCCGAGAGGAAGGAGTACGTTACGCGATTTCTTCTTCGAGCGCGAATCGACAGATGCTTATTTTCTAGGACGAACACCAAAGCTTTGAACACAATCGGGGCAATAGAGAGACAGAGTCGGACGACGATCAGGAAATCTGATGTAAAGGAGGGGGTACAGGGGTAGGAGGATTGGTGGGAGGGGATCGTTTCGGTGTGTCCCAAAGTGAAATGCCTCGTTATCACGTTTACAACTAACAAATGATCACACTCGCTCACGCATACATCATAACCGCACGCGTCGCACTCTTCTTTTTTTTCATGCGCGAATCGCGTGCGGGAAAATAGAATGTTCCGATGAAGATCGGGTTTATTCAATTCTCCTCTCGCTCATCGTGTGCGCGTTTTAATCTTGTCCGCTTCATTTTCTATCTCCGGTATCCTCGCGTTCCTAATTCTGCATTTCTGTTTTGTAAAGCCATCGACGAGCGCCAACGACTTGTTCACGGAGCGATCCGCAATCCGGTTGCGGTTTGCGATTTCATATAATTAATGCATATACATAACAATACGTGCAGAAGAGCCCTTTCCTTATTAATAATATACATATATGTATATATTACGCGATAATAGTCTTTATACGTGTAACCTCCATCAGATTAACCCGTCGAACGATAAACGTAATCACTAGCTCGTTGATATAGTTCCTGAAATAATTTAAAGCGTTAGCGGTTAATCGAACGCTGCGACTGGATCTCTCTCTCGCTGTCTCTTTCTCGTCGACGACTCTACTTGCAGTGAACTTGAACACAGACTCCGCGACGAATTTCAACTAGCATAATAGTTTGTTCTCACGTATCGGCTACGTCCAAGGCGGAGGAGGAATCTTCCCCTCCGGTAATTTCATGCGCGATCACTGTTCGAGTATCGAGTCGATCGACGTATTCTCTGTGTCTGCTTGTTTTGTGTGCATGTTTACGCGTGTGTATGTTATGTTGTACAGAATCACGGCATGATCCTCGGAGTGCCGGGTTGAGATTGAACGTATGATTAAATGTGTAACGCGTCGCGCGATTTGCTGTCTGAACGACGACGACGACGGTTTACGATGCCTTGCCACAACGGTGCCCTAAGCGAGCTTCTTCTCCGTATTATTGTTGGCAACGTAACCGTTATTCGTTCCGTTGCTGTAACAGCTGTTGTACTCTTTGTTGTAAATCGTCGCGTACGACGAGACACCGTTCTGCCGCGGCACTGAGTCTTCCAGCACTGGCATGCAGAGGCCAGTCGAACCGTTCTGCATGCTCTTCTTCAACTCTCTTCTCTTTCCCTTGTCCACATACTTCGCTTTGTAAAAGTCCGAGAAGAGACCTAGGAAAAGAACGCCGTGCAGACCGATCCAGATCATGAAGCCGCGCGGGTAATCGCATTCCGTGAACAGAAGCTGGAACTGGTGGCTCATGATCAGTACGAATTGCACCTGAAACAAAAATTTTTATATTGATTCCGTAAAAATCAGAAGAGAGGATACACCGTTCGAGTCTAGTGCACTTACCATTTGCAAGGTAGTCAGGTACTTTTTCCACCAGATGTACTTTTGGTACTCGGGACCCATCGCGGCTATCATGTAATAGAAGTACATTATTATGTGAACAAAGGTGTTCAGGAGGGCGAAGAAAGTGCTGTGGCCACCCGGTGTGAACTTCAGCCCCATCCAAACAGAGAACGGCATTATACCGTGGTGGATCACATGTAGCGTCGACACGTGTTGATTCTTCTTCCTCAGAATGAAAAAGAGCTGCGAACAAAATTACGCCCGTTGGCAAACGATTTTATATCACGTAATTATCAATTAGTATCCGATTAGATTCTATTTTCGTTTCGACGTCGATTCATTTTCATCCGGCTCAACCTTGATTTAAAAATTCTGATACGCCCACACGTTCGCGATACAATCCCACTGTTATAACAAAGGTGGAAAAGTGGAGTGCTACAAGGCTACTAATGCGAAATTCTCAGGGGATACCTTTTATCATGTAACGTTAAAGCCTTATCAAGCTAGTCTCACAAATAGACTGCACATTACACAAATTGTATACAGGATTATTTTTCTCATTTCAAGAGACGATGTTCTCTTTATTATATTAAAGTAGCTTGATAACAAAAAACGACCTACTTCTCCGCATCGGTTTTAAGACCGACTGGTCTTCCCTCGCGTGGGTTATACGTATATACACCGAATCGAAAGGGCTCGGTTTTACTATTGTACGAGTGCAACACGGATTTCCGTTCGATGAGCAACTCTAATAGCAGCTATCTAATGCTTGGAACACGGTCTAATGCAACGGTACACAGCTGAGTGTACTGTTTAATAGCAGAGCTACATTAGGCAACAGCGAATGACTATCTTAACTCATTCCAGCAGTCAAGCTAGTTTCATAATTACGATTTACAATTAGACCCGAATAAATTCCTTAAATTTATTAGACACTGGATTTATCCTATTAATCCATGGCGAGCATAAATATAATGAAAATTCATACAATATTTCATATAGGAACAAAATGCAGATAGTTCGATTGCAAAGATTCTCTTTATACCCGTGACTGAATTTTCGTCGAACGATAGTGCATGGAAAAAAGCAGAGACCGGAAGGCAGTACTTACGGTATCGAAGAACTCAGTGAACTTGCTGATGTAATACCACCAGCACGTGTTGGCCATTCGCAACGCCATGGGGCTGTACGAGTAGTCGACCGGTTGGCACCGGAAACTGTATCCTTTCGCCCATCCGCTCATCAAGTACTGAAACAAGAAAACGGTGGAAAGTGAGGATAATAAAGGGTGGTGGGGTTTGAGCATTCGTCGGAGAGGACGACAACGAGAGCACGACAATCAGCATATAGAGTACGATCGCTCGCTTTTCACTCGGGAAACTCTGTCCCTCCGCTCGCTTTGTTCGATCAAGGAGTCCGGGAAAGCCGGCGAAACAGCCGGGCGGTGGGAGTGGGTGGAACAAAAGGCTGTGTTTCTCTCGGCAAGACGGCTTCTCTTCGGCTATTTCAAAAATCTAAAAGCCCATGTACTCCTTCGAGAATTACGAACAATGCCACCCGCTTGTACCTTGTTTCATCTTATACACACCAACGTGCACGTAATTTTTTCCAACAAATCAGGCCACGCGGTCTTTCGCGCGACCTTAAAAACGTGGCATCGATTCGCGAGGGAAAACCGGACCACGAATTATCCCCACGATGACCATTTTCGTTTTAACTATTTTATAATCCGAAAAAACAGATTGCGTTCGTTCGTTCCTGGAAACGTTTAGATCAATTGCACGTGAAATGCTTTAACAACTTCGATGTTAATGCGCGTTTTATTAGTTTCAGAAAAACGAGATTGACTTTAATAAAAAGATCTTAATATCCAAATAGATTAATTCTAAGAAAAGAATAGCTAGATTACGTCACGAGTGACGCTACATCAATCGCATGTTAATTATCGCACGTACTTTCGATTCGCGGAAGCTGGATGCGCTTGAAAATCGAGCGGTTTGCGTGCGCACGAAAAGTGTCACGGAAGCAAAATCTCACGAGAGGTCTCGCGATAATTGGCTAAGTGGCACCGATTCAACTCTAAACGAGGGCTAACGTTACCGTGTACGAAGGACTTTACACGAGAAACTATAAAACGGGCATAACCGTTTACCGTAACGTTACAGCGACCGTTTACATTTTTAACAGCAAATCCTAGATATCAACGATGCCAAATCCAAACCGCTAGTGGTTCTTAAATTCAACTGGAAATTGCTTTCGCGTAGGTTTAGATTTAGCTTTACATTATATCATCGTTTACATCAAAACGTTTAGGTACATGGACAATAAATTGTAGCAATTGTTATTACGTGGTCGTTAATGTGAGAGGGATTTGAGAACAACGATGTGATGAGCGATTTTTTTGTTCTAACACCACGTGTCTTACAAAAATGAGATTTTAGAAGAGAGCAGATCATTAAAAATATTCTTTCCATTCTTGGAGATCACGTACATGGTATTGGAACTAAACACATTCTCATACATGGTGTTAGAACGAAGGATGTACATCCCGCATGATTCATTCAGTCTATTCAGTAGTCACTTTGAACGAAATGCAGATGAAAACATGTTCACATTTTTTTACTGTGGGTGAATCATTCAGGATGCACATGCAAAGTGGACGGTTTAAATTCGGTGTTACATTAAAATTGGTAAACGCGATGTTCAATTTGCGCGACTTATGAGCGTGCAAGACTGTTGTTAATATTCATTGGAAAATTGTATGCGTCTCGGAGCGAGTCGCGGAAACTCGTCTCGTGGGACCGCCCGCTTTGTCTTTTCCTTCGCTGTGAAACTTGCGGAAAGAGAAAACGACTCAAGGGTTGGGTTAAGGTCATTGTGCCGGCAATAATTAATAATCGTTAAAAACAATGAAATGACATATGTAAACGAGAAAATACATGCTATTTTTCTTGTAGTTATTTTTGAAAAAGAAGACGATCGCCTAAGAGACGTCTTCTAAGAGAAAAATGCTATAAATTTCTCTTCTAATTTCAATATTTAACGAGTTAAATATGACTAATTGGCGTTTTGTGGGTATTGATAAAATCCGACCATCCCAGCGTCGAAACGGCCAACTTTTGGCAAAAAATTTCGTTTTTCCTTAATAACTCCTAAACTGTTGGTCGTACGGGAAAATTGCATAGGACCTTTCTTGTAGAGGACGACGAGATCTATAATTTCTGTATAAAAGTTTGTCACTAGCGTTAATAGTTTAAAAGTTATTGACGAAAAACGGAAAAATAGTTTTTCGCGAATTACTCGTAAACTATTGACGCTAGCAAGAAACTTTTATACAGAAATTGTAGATCTCGTCGTCCTCTACAAGAATGAACATATGCAATTTTTCCGTATGTCCAACGGTTTGGGAGTTATTAGCCAAAAACGAAAATTTGGAAGAAATTGAAGGGGTACCCCTTGGAAAAATCTCGGAAAAATCGAAAATTTTTTTTTGTTGTTTATTATTAGCAATGTTCTTCCGACGTTTGATTTCTTT